TAGATTGAAGATAGATATTCGTTGGTAATTAGTCTGACGAATCAATTTGTGGAATAAGTTGTAATTTGACAGGAAATTGAAATTCTAGTCACAATAGTCTGGAACGCTTTATCGCCATTATACAATGATAATGTCTAGATCTAGTTCGAACATTTATTTCTGTAAAAGAAATCCTTTCACTGCTGCATGTGATTGCAATAACAAATTGTCAGTAGATACTTGAAGTAGGACGAACCTTTCCATTATACAGACAATCGGATAAACAGCGAGTCTGGTAATAAAATAAACCCTGCCGGGCTGCTTATAGTGTTAAATTGAATTAATGTACTCTAGCCGAACCCATTAACTGTGGCTTAACTTGTAATATAATACACAATACAATTACATTTATATTAAAGCTTAACATAGCATGCATTAGTATTTAGCTTGAGTAGTAGGGAAAAAGTGGCTAGGTTTAAATTCCCTATTGAGGACTAAACAATGCTTTAATAACTGCGATTTTAGGGCGAGGCTATATTTTATAGACTATTATAGTGGAAGGGGAAATTATTGGTTACTTTAGTATTTATTAATAGCAATAGTACTCGTATAAAGAATCAATAGCTAATAGCCCAATGACTAGAAAGGGCTTATGGCACTGGAGCTCATGAGTCTAGGTTATAGTAATCTAGTGTGTAAGCGAGAGGATTAATGGAGCACTATGGGACACTATACAATATTGATTCCATCAACAACAGGGCTACCATGGCAGCAGACTAGTAGCAGCCAATTTCACCTCCATTATCAATCAACCGCTTTCTTATATAGAATTAACACTAGGATTACCTACAGCATGGACAACTAGAAAAAGCGGGCTTTTTCTAGTTGTCCATGCCTACAGCTATAGCAATTGCACTATTTTCATAATGATCATGGTAAACTGATGCGCTTATCACTGCAGAACATATTATTCTGAGTTTTGAACGGCTTAAAGGCATTAATTTAAGGTATAATGTAGGATAAAATAATATTCCCTAATAATTATTATTCTACAGGTATCCAAAAAATAATCTAATATCATTAGCGGAACTTCTGTACTCCTAAATTGACCTAATTTATGAAATAATATTATTTGAGGGCTATTTAAAAATATGTCGTCGATAAATTTTCAACATGTAGTTAACATAATAGTCTACTCTTCGCCGTATTAGTTTGTAGAGTTTAATCAATTTCAGACAGATACTTTTCTTACATATTTTAAAAAGTTAAATGTCCTTACAATTACTGATATTACAGAATATCAAAATGTAATGTTACTATTAACAAATACATAACTGATATCACATTGAATAAGGCATTTAGTTATTAAAATCATCTTATCTAAGCATTTATCTCTACTACCGTATTATCGAAACTTGCGAAAAATCATACCAATCTTTTTGATAAACTGTATATTGTAACTAAAAATAATGAAATTCATCCCACAATTAGAGGATATTAATAGCATAGTAAAAATAAATGGCAAGAACTAAAAGTATCAATTAATCGTATCTACTAATGAACCATATTATTGATGCTGTTCTATTTTTAATATATTGATTTATCATAAGCTTAATACCTTCTTAGAATGAAAAGAATAAAAAATAATTTATATGAATTGGATGTATTATCCTCATCAACTAGTTGGCCATATAATAATGAAATTCTATTTTTAATATATTGACTTGTTATTAGCTAAATATCTTTCGAAATGACAGGAATGACCATAATTACTGCATTCATTACATCCGTATCTTAACATATAGTTTGTGCACCTTAACATATACCGAAGCTGTCATATGCCAAATTTATATTTTATTGCGATACTATGTTGTAAAATTAATAAGATATCGAATTTTCAATCAGATTCAAACTTAATCATAGACAGATTTTGATACTTGTTGATATTGTCAAAAATCATCACTTTTATATGCACTAGAAATTAAATTAAGAAGTTAACGTGTTACATGATTTATTGGCTTTAATTTAATGATGAATTTTAAAATTACTTAAAATAAATATTTTTTACTCCTAAAAATCAAAAAGAGTAAGCTAGGAAAATTGTAATTATGAATGTTACATTTTAATAGAATATTTTTGTGTATTCGTACCATAACGATTAAATTGATAAAATTAACAGGACAGTCAAAACTGTAATCTGGATAACTTTACGTATATATTCTATAAAACTGCCAATATAACGTATTAATTATTATTTCGGTTGGCTCAAGGTTACTTTATTTGGTATATGCTGACTTGGAGAAATTTATAGGAACCTATAGAAAATTACAACTATTTATGCTGCCTAGTCCGGTATTGTTCGGAACTTACACTAATGGGAAGTGGCAGTGGAAAAAACACGCCGACATAACTTTCTATGCATATAACAGATTACCGTTATTGTGAGAGAGCATATCCAGATAAAAGAAATAAATCTATAAATACTAGTTCAATTGCCTAATTCTGATTACGAAAGACGCTTTAATTAATAAGTAGGTCATGCCGAAATTACTGTTGGTATAATTTTATCGAAGTGACGATACTTACATTCAAGCAGCCACCTGAAGAATAGAAAATAAGAAGGATTCTTTCTTGAAAGTTCATACTGGATAAACTTATTCTGGAATATCATTTAATTTTACTTTTAGATACTGTTGTAAAATATGATGTATCTATTTACTATTAAACAATTTTTAATGAAGGACAATCGCTTGTGACTAATATTCTCTCAACTGTTAACGGTTAGTCATTATATTATCGCTAAATTGACGCTGTCTTTCAGTTAATTATTAGCGTGATAATAACTTAATCTATTTAAAGATTCAGCATTGAAGAATTTAACTTTCCAGTTGAAATTAAAATGCGCATGGCGTTATCAAACAACTTATTCATTATGTTGGCGACAGAACTTATTAACATCAATTTTAAAAGACCCTACAACATGTAGCACTATAACTACACTACTTTAATATAAAAATATTCCCTTACTGTGTAATCTGACCTACGACCTGTTTTTATCTATTCCTTGAAAACTACTGTCTACTTATGGTTATAGAAAATTCAATATCACCCTTAAATATAAAAGAAAGTAATATAATAAAGAATGAATTGATTTCTTAAGAGTCAGATGTTAACAACTACTCTAAATGATTTCTAGCTAAATATAACATGACCTTAATTATTCGTCTTGGAAACTGGTTGAATGTCAGTTATTTTTAGTTCAATAAAATAATAACCATTTCAATATACAGTAAATCACTTTCAAAGTAGATTTTAATTACGCCTCTGAGTGACAATCACACGTTATAAATCATTGACACAAGCAATTATAATAGCTAGCTTTTGAAGTAGAAAATGATGAAAAAAGTCGATACAAATTTTAATGCAATCATGAATAATTAGACGATGAAACTAAAAATTGTAGTAATCATGATTAATAAAATATATTTTCCATTCATCTCGTTACAAAAGTGAGCATCGTTTATAGACTGTTGTATGAGAATTGATTCACGTCAGAGATTTGATGACTTTAAAGTCAATTCGTCATTTACGTCAATAAGGTATTGTATTCATTTGTACCCATTCATGACATGGCTAACTCTAAATTAAGCTATCATTTTATATGCCTAAAGGAATTAAGATAATTTATTTTAATGGCATCATTAATTCCATCAAGGTCATCTAAATTTATATTCTATTTAGATTGAAAGCACTCATTATCATGAAACTAGCAACAAGTTGAAATTGGATAGCAAGAAGAAATTGAAATAATCCCCCAATTATTTTGATAATTCATCTAAATAATCCATTGGTGATAATAAAAATAATGATTTGATCCAATCAACACCTCTAACCCATGGCTATGGCATGAAACTCAAACTTATATAAGTATAGAAAACACTACAAGGTATCTGTCTCTTTCTTATGTATACCATGATGATTGGATCAATCATTTGAGTATATGCAGCCTTGATTAAACTTTATCATCACATGATGATTGGAATGGATTGTTCGCCACCTGATTAGTTACGTCATTCTTTATCTTGTCTACCTCGATAGCTAAATTGCCATAGCAACCGGATTGCTGGTCTTATTATCGTCACAAATTGTTTTTCTACTTGTTATTGCTAAAACAGGACAATAATATAATCGAAGCAGAAGAGCTCCTCTACTTTTGTCTCATAACTTTCTACAAGGGTCGTGTTATAATCAATGCAGTCTTTTCTTCTCATTTATTATTAAAAAAAACAAAAATCTACCACTAAGGCAAATTATACAAACCCATTGACAACGATACAACTTGTTGAATTTGAACAGCGAACTAGATTGGCGAATTTGCATAGACGTCCTCAAATTGATGTCGTCTTCGTTTCTTTTTGGTTATTCCTCAACATAAGATAGTATTTTTAACCCTAAAGTGTAGCTCAACAAAAAACTAATCGATATTAAGTCATTACAACGCTAATTCTAAATTATTTCTTCTCCAAATTGTTTCAAATATCGGATCGACTATTGAACATCTTGAGCTATCCCATCCTCCAACAGGTTATACCCATTAATCTTGCCATCGTATCAAGTATCCATTTACTTTACTCCTCAAGGATAGCCATTAATCGAATAGCAAGCTGATTAGAAATAATATTGGATCATAAAATTCCTCAATCCGCATAAAGACTTATTATTCCAATTGAAACCATTTAAAAAAAGAAATCGCTTTACATTCCATTAAAATAATTGGATTGATACTATAGATTGCACACATCAATTTATTCTTTCCGTCGCGATATTGCTTAACTTCATAGGCTTCAGCCTTAAATATTAATATCCAGAGATCAAGAATAGTATGTATTGACTCTCATTGGCATTAATCCATTGGAAAATCACTTTATAACTCTGCTTTTAGATATCCTACATAATTATTGGCTATTGTCTACAAGAGTAAGAAAACGTTTCCAACTTACCGTTGATTGTATTACCCAAAGATGGGTGCAGTATTAAGTAGGAAAGTACAACTGGCTAGTGACGACAGTTGGAAATACACTGTTCGTAATGATGACGACGACGGAGGTGAAGAAAATAAAAAAAATAATCAAGAGAATTATCATACTATTAGTAAATTATTAAACTCTACTCATCAAACAAGTACAGTTCCAGCCATGACTAGCAATAGTAAAGCTTATAAAGAGCTAAATTTCGATTACGAATACACTTGGCCATTCGAAAATCTTGTTCTTGAAGGAGGTGGTAGTAAAGGGATGGCCTACGTTGGTACTCTTAAGGTTAGTTTGATAAAGTAAACATCTCCATCATTTGCTTTGATAATCATTCATGTAATGAATAGCAATATTATCAAGCATAAATAAAATAAATCAAGTAATTTAAACCTAGTGGAGCATATCGCTATAATAAAAAGTCGCTCGTATCTTTCTTAAACAACATCATCCCTAAAATCTGACCTTAGTGATGAAATCAAATTCATTTTCGGTATTTTATTGCAAAGTCCGCGGTTAAGGAGCACATATAGCAATCACTGAGAATTTAATTACCGAATGATAAAAGTCAGACAATAACTCATTTATATTCCATTTTTGTTTTACCTTATTTTAATACGGATGAAACGATAACTTTTTTCTTGGTTTTTGCATTACGTACCTTATCAGTTCTATGATGTTACTGTTGATATAAAGAATCAACCATCATAGCATAACTTCAGATGCTTAAAGTCTCAAATTCTATTGCATAAATATATGAATTTTAAAGATAAGAGCATCAATTGAAAGTTTAACTCTACTATAGATTCATTGGCAATTTATGATAAGCATGTTAAACCTATCGGTTGAAATTTGACTTTAAATTCTTATAATGATATAGGATAACACATTGAGTAATTTATTATTTTATGATAGCGATCCATTTGCATTAAATAGTTATTAATCAAAGGAAGATATTCTATGCATGATACGTTTAGTACAGTCTAACCTATTTTTGCCTAATTCTAGTTACTTAAAAAAACGGTCATTAACATAACCTGCTTACTGATGTAGTGATTTTATTGTAAAGAGTTGAATCGAACAAGTAACAAGGATGACCGATTTTATTTCATTCAATTTAGCGCGTTTTAGGATAGATATAAGATTAAAGTTAGCGTTGTCATCAGTATTTTTTCTGAGCTGTTACACATCTTTAAAATAACTACCAAGCTCAAATTTAATATTTTGATACGGTAAGATACTGACCTTGAGGTATGAAGATGACGGTTTCCTATTACTAATTTGCCCTCTTTTCCCTCTGATCACTTCATTATCCAAAGACATTATTATAATCTACAACATGCAGTGATTATTTGATGCCAGTGGGTATTAATTCTCAGAATTCATAATTATACTATAAATTGTTTCTTAATCCACGCACACAAAAATATCGGAGCCAACAAACTACATTAATGAAGGATACTTTTCAACCTTGAATTTATGCTCGTACTTAGTTTGTACCATTGGATGGCTTATATCGACAAAGCTTGAATCCTTTTAAACGACAGCTAGTCATTTTTATCTTTACTGCTTTATTCTAGCGGATTGGGTAATTAACTTTACAAATGATGATTGTTATACCGTCCAAACGTTATAAAATTTTATTCTGCCTCAATTTTTCGTACTCTACTAATACACGAATTGAATAATATTTCGTATAGAATCGAGTATCGTGTAGTTCCAAACATTTAGTAATAATCAAGAAATTATAATATTGCAATAGGCAAATTGAAAATAAACGATTTGCGCACGAAACAAGTGTTGCATCATGTACTCCTGAAATTTTATGGGATACCCAATCAGTCAAAATTTCGCTACGTCTACGCTTGTACTGATATTTTCAAATGTGGGTAAATTTGTGATCTAAAATTATATAAAATTAGTTGTAGATGAAATAGATATTTCAAGACTAAATACGGCAGCAGATATTCATCAGTGCCGCTTTGGATTTTATTAGATAGCACCATTTTTAATGTTTTCTTCAGCCTGTTTGATCCCTACGAAAGCGATCTGCATATAGCAAGCGTCTGAATTCTTTTAAAAGGTGTTCTAAACATACGCATAGAATAGATATTTTGCTGACTGTGTAAACATCATATTCAACTTTGACATCTCTTTTACGCCGAATAATATAACACCTAGAAACCGTCGCATACCACTCTCATCATACAGGTCTTAGTTAGCCTAGGAAAAAAATAAATTCGACAGTAAAAATCATTTTTTTCCTATTGCCCATCGATAACACCAATTCGACATCATCCACAAACAGTCCGATTTGACTTTATACTTTAATCAAGAAATTTCTTCAAAAAGAAATCATTGTCTATAGTCAGAAAAAACTCCTTAGGTGCCAACTGAAAATGATGAATTGTTTTCTTTCAATCTAACTAGAAGCTTATGCCCATTCTTTCCTGCTACATACCTTTCTATCGATATTTTGTTGTCTAGTTTTTCAATCCCATTCAGGATCGATGCCACGCCTTATGTATATATACAGTATATGCCGCCGCTATTGATTCAAGTTTAACTACGCCATTTTCTATTATAATTATTTCCCTCCTCTGTTAGTAATTCTTGCCTGTCTATCTACTATGATAAAGTCTTGCATCATTTTTCTATTCAATGTTTTTACCCTATAGCGATAAGAATCGGGTTTAAGTAATTTTGATTTAATTTCCATTCCGATCAGTTTTTGCTAGCAGTAATAGGAATCATCCTTTACATTTAGAGAGCGTATTTTATCATGGACTTCTAACAAGCCCCCTGATTTTACATACTAATCTGTCGTAGTAATGATAGAGAGGTGTAGACTTGTCGTTGTGGACGATTTTTCGCTAGCAGCAATGATCTAAGAATTTTATTTTACTAGGAAGTTGGAGGGCATATTTTGCACACCCAATCGGTCGTAGTAATGATAAAGAGATGTACATATACTTGTCAATCCTGTTATTCAACATAGTGCATCTAGATACATAAAATTCCATGGTCAGAGTGGATAAAATGAGAATTCAGTTGAATCAGACTAGAAGAGTTTAACAGGAAAATAGATGAGATGGACCTGTTGCTTGTACAATCGCTTCATAAGCATTGACATTTGTATAGGAACTATCGCAATCGTTGATAATTCTTCGTTATAGCTTTTATTAATGACCATGATGAATATGCGATTAACTTATCCTACATCCGGATAAAAGGAGCAATAAAAGATAATAGGTTAATAGTGCAATGGCGAGTGGTCCTTTTTAATCCTTTCCTTCCTCATAGTTAGAGATGGAAAGAATAATGTATCAAAGTTAAAATTTCTTGTCATATGATATTTAAGGAACTTGATATAATCAGAAATAGAGAAATTCAGTTTCTATATTATGACGCTAGTAATTCTATTAGAAATAGCATATTGACAACCTTGATGGAAAAACGTAACAGTTTGGTAATTGTTGCAGTCATTAATGATTAGCATTTCATAGAGCAATAATTCCTAGCTACACAACTGGATTATGTTATAATTGTATTCATTCTTAATAATATGATAGGTATTAGAAGATGCCGGCATTCTTCGAAATATAAAACGCGTAGCAGGCGCAAGTGCAGGCGCCATGTCAGCTTGCCTAATTGCAGTTGGCTTGAAACCATCTCAAATAGAGGAATTCTTGAATCAAGATACTCGTAAATTATTAATGGGTAAGTCCTACGAATTTCATTTTGTACGTGTATATCATTTGCAAGCGATTTTAATTGCAATTTATAAGCTATTTATTGATCCTAATTGATGATAATATAAAGATTCATATCATCATCATACTGTATTTTTGATAGCCAATGACGACGGTAGATAAATTCGTAGTTAGGCTTTAATGTCAGTAGGAATATATGCGTATAAAAGGACAAGATTATTTTTGAGCTTCTTGCTATCATCATCAATGTTAACGAAGCTATGCGAACATACTATCGCATATGATTACGTCAAATTACGATCATAATGAATAATTTACGTCGATAAAAGGGAAAGGTGTAGATAGATTTGTTTCAATTGACTACATTATATGTTTGATCACAATTTCCTCTTTCATTATACTATGAATGACTAGCTATAGTAGAGAAAATAACGTCCATTTATTCCCTTATACTACAAGTATTAGTAAGATAAAATTAATGATTACCAGCAGGGAGTAACCTCAAAGTATTTAATTATTTTTTTCTGTGGTGTTATTGCTATTTACAGATCATTCTTGCGGTTACCTCAGTTTATTACCAAATATTTTACAAAAGTACGGCTGGAATCCAGGTAAAAGATTATTGCATTGGTTCGGTGAGACACTAGAGAATGTCACTGGTAATGCCGATATCACTTTTTGGGAGGTAAGCTAAACGAATAGAGAAAGTAAAGAAATCATAGTAATTTTTTCTTGATTTTTAAATTTATTTGAATATGAAATATATTCATTTCTACGGATAGGTTTATGAAGGCTTTGGTATTGAGCTTTGCATTGTGGCAACAAATCTCAATTTAATGTCAGTAGAATATTTCCACCCTAAAACATCCCCTAATATGCCAATAAGGAAGGCAGTTCGTATGTCTATGTCAATTCCAGGTTAGTATAGTATTTGCACAAGATACTCTACTGTAGACATATCCTACAGCAGTATCCAATAGAATATCTCACACAAGATATTGTATCATTATTAAACTTTGACTCCATTTATCATAATAGGCATATTTCAAAGCGTTTTACACAAAAATCACGAGCACTTTGATGTTTATGTCGATGGTGGGTTACTCTGTAATTATCCAATTCATGCGTTCGATGGTTGGTGGCTATCGATGAAGCCTGAAGATAGTTTTTTAAGAAAATTACAACCACTGAATGATTTACCACGATTATTTGATAAATCTGAACGATTTGGTGTATGGAATGATAAAACGATTGGATTGATGCTGGTAAAGTGATACACTTATGCGTCTAAAATCATATTCTTTACAACTATTAATAAACATTTTTCAAGGTTTATTAAATAAAATCATTTTTTATAATAAATTATAGTACTCGCGTACGGAAAACGAATTTCTTAAAACTTACTTAAGTGCTAGAGATGGTTGCCAACCTCCATTACCACCAAGAACAAAATTATCAATGTAAGTATATGAGGATATTATGTAATCTAACGCTTTTAGCTTATTTACAAGATACAGACAAGAATTCTATTGTCAATATACGATCAATTCTTTGGAAGCCTTTATAATCTTGTTTAAAATTGGTAAATTGAAAAATTTTATAAATGCATTTATGTAGTGCTAGAGAGAAAATCCGACAGAAGCAACAGATAATGATGAGAGATCATAGCAAGGTTGTTAAAGCAATCGAACGTTTTCTGAAAGTCTTAGCCGAGAGTAACATCGACGAAGATGCCATAATTGATAAAACTGAGCTCAAGTTGGCATTTAGCGATGTAAGCCCGATATTACTACAGGAATAGCGATTTAGATACTCGTCAATCAAATTGCTTAATAGTTTTTAAGCTCTTTAGAAGATGACAGGCTCGTCGTTAATAATACGACCATTAAGCTTCTAGATTTGCTTAGTATTAGCCTAATATTGATCAAAGTATAATTTTTATGTCGACATTCACGTTTATAGAAGGAAAAATTTTCCGACGATGATGCATATCTCCTATTTGGTAAAGATTATACCTTGGCATCAGCATTTGAAACTTTAGATACTGACGGAGATGGAAGTGTAAGTAAATCTGTCATAGCTATCTACAGCTCGCTTGTTAATACTAGTCTATTTGAGAGTGTTCTCTTTCATTAAGAAAAATAGAGGGTACTGTTAGTTTTATATTATCAACAGCAATCATAGCATTGGAACTATGGAACACTTATCACAACGGATTAAGTGTCATTAGGCTAGATTAACTTATTGTAGCTATCAAATCGTGACCATTACGGCGCAAGATTTTCTTCCACAGAATAGTTTTGACATATGTATATAGAATATTTATAGTTATAGAAGGTTGACGATTACAAGAATGATTGATATGCTACGATTTATTTCTTCTAGATCACGTTTCAAGAATTAGTTAATTTTGTAGAAAAGCGTGGTGTTAGTTTACAAGCCCGATTTGAAGGTTTAAATCGTAAAGAGATTAATGGTCTTGGAGATTTTATGGTTAATCTACAGGAAGCATTATCTATTAATGTAAAAAAAGTCTACGTCGAGGTAAGATATTTGCTATAGAATATTCGAATATTTTAAAATGCCTTCAGTTAAAAATCATTGGTTTTAAGTCCACTTCCAGACATTTTTTCGCACAGCTAGCCCTTCAATAGCGATTTATAATAAGCTTCTATTAAAATTGATCAATTTATTTCCTATATTAATTTGATGTCCATACATCTATATGAAATCGATGTTTAAAATAGTCGGTTTATGCTTTATTTTAATTTAATGTAAGCGTATAACTTTGTAAAAAAGCTCGAATTGTACTTCGATTAATTTAAGTTTATAAGCTTTAAAGACTACTGTTAGATGTTAGAAGACTTAAACTCTGATTATGTAGGAATTAAATTACTGTCGTTTTATCTTGTAGAAACGCGATGTAGAAAGGACGATCGGTATCGATACCGATTATATAGAAACCACTGACTTTGAATTATTAAAAGAAGATCGAGAATTCTTACTGGAGGTAATAACGCTTATAGATGCACTATTTTCTATCCACTGAAGGATTTTCGATATAAAATTACTGTATAAGTATCAAGTATACAGAAATATTTTATCATCTATCATCTTGCCTGTATTTTTATAATATTAAGCCAATTTTGGCGCAATACCCTACCTTCTCTAATTGAATTAAATGTACTCAGGTTGGTCGTCGATCTGCTAGAGCATTCCTGTATGACTTTCTCAAGCGAAAGAATCCACCTAGGAAAACAGCAGCTGATTACAAGAGAAGTCGTCGAATGGAAGCATTGCGACATCAACAATTATTACGACGGCGTAGCGAACAAATCTTAGGTTTATCATCAGGAAGTCAATCTAAAAACAAGAAGAGTCTGTCGGGACGAAAAAAAGTTTCCGTAAGTTTAAGCACTATAGTACTATTATCGGTATATTGTATCAGATTTAAATGTAAACATCCAAAACGATCTCTATAACCATCATTGAATCTAAATGATTTAACTACTGTACTGGTATTGTAAGTGGTACCTTATTTTAGTATACCCAGGGTGAAATATGAAGTGATTGTGCAGTTTTATCCTTTTTTTAAATGGTTACTGTGTTAAACTCGTACTGATCAATCTGTTTTTTAATTATCTGACGAAAATAGATAAAGAAGAACGCCAAAAATCCTATGATGAGGCAAATTACAGAAGAAACAGAAATTACCGATTCCGATGCAAGTGATATCAGTTCAACTGGTGGTAAAGATACTCGTAGACTGAATCCAATTAATAATAGGCCTCGAACAAGAACATGGGATAATTAACGCAATTATAACAAAAGTTATAAGAAATTGATGGAAAAGCTGTAAAGCTTGGACCACGATTACTACACGAATTTTAGTTTATGATATCTAGTACTGTATATTAGCGGTTTTGAGCTTGAACGGATAGTATTATATAATTATACTTTATACCGTCGAGCATTCGATGGAATAATTCTTACTTGAACTTATAAATACGTATAACATTGAATTATTGACTTTACTATTATCGTCGTGTAGCTACGAAGAAAATATGTTTTAGTATATTTAATAGCAAAGTATACACCTCGATATGCTATCCTTTCTCTACGAAGTCAAAGAAATCGATTCTGCTATTTTTTTCAGCACAATTTAAATTTTACACATCATACTATGTATCAGTTAGAATTTATTAATAGATAGAATATATTGAGATTTTGTGCCGCCGATAAGAATCATCTACACGCTGTACTTACTGCTTGACTAATCATTATCAAGTCTACATCATTCAAACAATAATTCCAATTTGATGCTTATGTTGATTGTAATATTTGGATTATGACTACGAGGTGGAATAATCAATTCCCTGTAACTATTATTGTCATTGTAGTTGGCCATGCCAATATACATAAGTTATTGAATTGATCCTTTAGAATTCATACTTTAGGCTGGTAGCATATTTACTGCACAATAATGTAATGCATTAACATAAAAAAATTACGGCGAGGCGGCTTAGTACAGTATCTATAAATCATTACTCGCATCTAAAATGCTAAATTATTTCATTGCAAAATTCAAAAATTTTTCTGATCATGTTAATGATTTTAAATGATATTCATGAACTTTTGCTGATCCATATTATTTCCTTACATGTTATCTGTAATAACGGTATTTCTTCTCCATTATCGCCAATATCAATATCTCATTTCATATTTCGATAGATTACCATGTATCAAATTTAGGTCAATTGTATGGGTAGTTAATTATAATGTAATTGATAAGATGCTGTCATAACATATTGAATAATTACAATCAATCTATCAAATGTTAACTAAATAGCAGCTTTGATAGCAGCCATTTTTATATTTTGCAAGTTCATTTTTAATTATTGCCGCTAGTATGGTTACTCTAAGTTAAGTTCAAAAAGGCTACGCAGGTACGTCAATATCTAGAATAATAGCCTACCTATTTTAAATAAACTTATTCTAAATTGAATATAATGGTATCTTTAATTAAGCTATAATAATATTCATCATTAGTATTAATAACCTATTATAATAACGATTGGGAAAGTGATCACAACCTACGTAGCAGACAATTCAATGGCATTAGATAGAATATATCTGTTGAATTATACTGTATTCATGATAATGATGACATAGCAGTATTAGCAAATAAAGATAATACACTCCTCTCTTTATTGTCCATTAATTTAACATTTCATTTCCTGCTTATTCTATAAAGCCTGTATAAACAATCTACATGAAATTGTGCTACAGTTACCGTGTACGTAACGATAGCATAAAATTGGTGTAAAACACATTTTTTATTTCTTAATGTGAACTAATTTGAACATTGTAGCTAGTTTACACCTTATTTTGTAAAATGTTAGAGAATTCCTGTCTATATATTTTATGTACTAGGTGTGTAATACATTTCGGCTCGTATTTAATGAAATAATAAAAAAGAAATTGGAATAGTTATATTTGAATCAAAGATGTAGTTGTTGTCTCGATATAATATAATCGTGTAACAAAGCAAATGGTTCAATAAGGAAACCATGGGCAGTAAAAGTTACGAACAAGTAATTGCTGATTGTTTATCTACTACAATCGCTTCTATGTATAATAATAATGGAAATATTAGCGTAAATATGCTATTACTAGTACTGAATGGACTGATAATTATTATCATATAATACAGTAGAGATAAAGTAGATTTTACAGGCTTACAGCACTGATATAGCAAGTACGTTTAACACACACATACTATACATATATATGAATATGAACGAGGCTAGAGAAATGTTCTATAAGCTGCGTATCAGTATATTCCATTAATCTTTTAAGAGTATGCATTTGTTTTGATATAGGCAAACATAACTAAGAGATGATATCAGGTACCATAACAATTCAATCAGTAAGCTTTCGTGATCTATGTTTTTTCTTTACTGCTTTCGTGTAATAGACCTAAAAACAAGAAACAGAGCTATTTACAATGCCTGAATAAAGTTAGTTTTACAATAATTAAATATACATAGAGCGTCTATACGTAATGGTACTATCCTGACCTATCTTTGAAATTATTCCATCAACTGATGGCGTATAAAACGAGAAAAGTAGCTTGAATTAGAATTTTACGAACTTACTATTAATCCTATCGGTAGTAGTTTTCCGATCTACCAAGAAGAAGATGTTGCTATTGGGTTGCTTTGAGTACACTGCCTGCAGATATTAAAGATTAACTTGTTCTATCATCGTATATCGATTTTATTTATTAATATGTATAATTGCATCATTGGATAAAGATATATCACAGCTGCATAACCGATCGATTATATATTTAGATTATTCATTACTTTATCGTACAGTGAGTGCTGCTTGCTAAAGTAGATTATATTAACGATAAATTACAGATTAAGAAGGCGACTGATAATATTGATGGAGTTGCAATCTTCAACTTTAAAGGACTGTCATCCTAAACTACAGTTCAATATGGTTGACTTACTCGATTAGGTTTCAAAGAAGTTAATTCTCCACTCATCACGGTCAATTCATGGCGCTATTGGAAGTAAAATAGGGCATTATTATAATTTAGACGCTTAAGTTATACGCGTACATCAGTTATACTCATTATTATTGAAAGTAGAACTTTTTGAAAGACTCAGATTTGGTAGTCCATCATTAGTAAAATAACTTTCGCTCTTTGTAGTCTTCGACCTCTTATACAATAAACATTTTGTAGTTGTACAGTTTATTTCCATTTCTCAACCAAAAATATCCTTGGGCATATATCATTTCGAGGTAGTCCACAGTTTGTACACTGTGCACTGCATAGTGACTATAGTTACGACTGTAATTGAACAACAAATTAAGTTGCAGTCGATCGTACAGTATCCTCCTCTTCAGGACATGATCTACAATCATATTGTAATTTACAGTAATCAATATACAGTTATGCCGTCATTTGAATCACAACTAGCTGTTTTATTGCATCTTCTCAAGCAAAAATGGCCATTAAATCATCCAAACCTATCAAAATGATTCAAGTCACCCACTCACTACCGTCATTACTTGAGCGATGAATTCAATTGCAGTATCTTATTGTATATAATAATCTAGGATGATTTCTAAAGTTATCCGTGTATTTGGAGTATGTACCCTTCTTTCTTCGTCAGTAAGACGTTTTGGAACTTCCTCCATATCGAGTCTAAGTTGCCAGAAAGGGTCCGAGATAAAATGGGCGTAGAAGGACTTCTATAACTTTGAAGGAGAGAAATTTAATTCCTTGCTCAAGTATTTATAACAACAATTTGGCCACAAGCCTCTGAATTCCTCATCACAAGTCCTTAAGCTTCCACATTACAGTAATTAAACTCCTTGCTCAAGTATTTATAACAACAATTTGGCCACAAGCCTCTGAATTCCTCATCACAAGTCCTTCGGCTTCCACGTTACAGTACGTCGATTTGGAAGGATCTCTATCCAAGCACTGTAGATTGTAGTCAGTAATCGCCTAAGTAAGTTAGTATACAGTATCGAACCCCGCGATTGGCTGATACAAATTACTGTCTAGACTTGCTAGGTTAGCGCGACTCCATTCACCGCTGCTACAGTACAATTTGACCGGACTGCTACTCAAGTACAGCATATAAAGTACTGTAGTGTTTATTTCTCTCTTCAAGGGACACCAGCCATTTTGCATCAACTTGATATATTCCTTCCGATGAAACAGAATTTTCTCTAAAATAAACTGGGAATACAACATTACCGAACTAAAATATCAATTGTATTGGTACGATACGATAATAAATAGACATTTGTTTTAACTAATTCGATCATTTTTCAACTCTACAGTCTACACAACACGAATGAATGCACTATTTCTTACTGAATGAATTCAAAATTTCTCCTTTTAGCTGCAAAGATTGGGCATCTTTTAGTACAAATTGAACACGTTACAATTAATCAACGCAATTCTAAGGTACTGTTGTACCATCTGACGAGCACTCACCAAATAGACTGTGCTATCGAGATCAAATAGCTTATCGTATTACAGCTAGCAGCTAGCGGTTTACTGTTATCGCTCAATACAGTATTAGATACGCCTTCATAAGACATACCAGAGTCTCGACCGAAACTGTGCAGCAAAGTCTCCTTCAAACTTCTTCGAGGTTCAGATATGACATTGTTAACGTTGTTACGCCGTTCAGTAAGGGATAAAGGACGTGCCCTTCGCTCAGTTATAAGTCAATATCAGCCGTCAGCATCTGTACATAATGATGGGCCTTTGAGAGGCATTAAAGTACTCGACCTGACAAGGTATGATAGAATAAGGTGCTTTTTCAACACATTATCTGCAGCATAGAAGTACGCATAGCTTTACCAAAAATAGATTACACTTTTTATTTAATCTACTAGTAGATCCCTCGCTCGTTATACTTCGCGTACTAAGTACATGTACAGTATTTGTGTTTATACTCGACTCATTATGCTTGTATTTGCTTAAATGGAATAAATATCTATTACTATTTCTTAGAGTTTTAGCTGGGCCGTATACAACAATGGTGCTTGGTGATCTTGGAGCTGAAGTAATTAAAATTGAGAAACCAGGTTAGTATGATTACAATAAGAATTTAAAAGCGAGCATCATCCTATACTATAGGAGTGATACAACCGTTGATAGTGATATGCTATCCGATGATGATTTACAACATAGGAGTATACATACTTCCTGCCTAATCTTGATCGGTACAGTTCATTCTATATAGAGGTAAAAAATGAACTTATAGCATACATTGAATAGGAGATGGTGACGATACAAGATCTTGGGGTCCTCCATTCGTAAATAGTGAAAGTACCTACTTCCTGTCTATCAATAGAAATAAAAAGGTATAAATTATATTTCGGATGGTCAACACTGAAATTGCTATTGTATCAGGCTGAGTATAAAATTATGCTATACTATACTTTTATCTTATTGTGGTGAACAATGTTATTAAAATCTACGTATATGTAATTGATTTGTAGTTGTGTAGTCATGATATAAGTAACAAGTTGGATAGTACTTTGAAGATGAACTGGTTCAATAAAGTTATAATTACCAACTCTGTATTAATGTGCGTTAATTTAATAATTCTCTTATGACAGGTGTATTGTATTACCATAGTGACAGTTTTTTTGCTTTATATGCGCAGCAATCATGCTAAAGAAACATGTATGCTAATTTTAATATTTAGAGTGTTGTTGTTGATCTAAAACGTTCAGAAGGATCCAATCTTGTCAGAAAGGTTAATATCACAATATTTATATTGAATTATACAAATAATTGTAAACATAAATTGCTTATCACTAATGACTTCTGGTGTGACTATTTCTCACTTAGTTAGCTGCATCATGCGATATTTTAATTGAAAATTATCTACCTGGAAAGTTGGACAAGTATAGATTAGATTATGAAAGTATTCGAGAGTCTTCACCCGGAATCATTTATTGCTCAATATCTGGCTATGGATCAGATGGACCTTATCGAAATCGTCCTGGCTATGATGTGATTGCTGCCGGTATTGGAGGACTATTGCATATAACAGGACCTGAGGTAATACTATCGTTGAGTGAAATAGCAATGGCATAGAATATCAACTTACCTTGTCAATATTCTTGTACTGTGTTACATCCCCTACGGAATTTAAATTAAATCTTAATTATCTTACCATACCTTGCATATCTGACGTACTTTTAGTAAAGTTTTGGATATGTTAACATCAGTAGTTTGGAGGATCTAGGTAGTTGCATTTAATGGTAGCATTTCTAACGCGCAATAAATAATAGGATAAAAGTCACTCTGGAATACTAGATGATTTATATTTAATTTGTGCTTCATTTGAAAGGGTGGAGATCCCTGTAAAGCTGGCATTCCAGTTACGGATATGGCTACGGGATTATATGCTTCCACTTCAATTATAGCTGCTTTAGTAGAGAAGCATAAGAGTGGAGTAGGTCAAAAGATTGAATGTAACCTGCTGAATACCCAGGTAACGATTAGAATTTGATGTTACGAACCTATAGCTTTTATCATATTGTACATCTTTACTAATAAAAGTATTCTTCAATTGATTAAGGTAGCAATGTTAAGCTATGTTGCTGCTGCTTATCTAAATGGTGGACTGGAATGGCATCGTTGGGGAACAGCTCATGGTAGTATTGTACCTTATCAGGTGCAGTATAATTCTTAAACTATTTACCTATACGATCTATAATTCGTGCAATATTATACACCTGTGTTGTGTTCACCATCTAACTAGTATTAACATATCATCATATACAAGGCATTCAAAACGGCCGACAGCTACATTGTTGTAGGAGCTGGAAATAACACTCAGTTTCAACAATTATGCAAGGTAAATGTAGTAAATTAAAATAAAAATACCAACAAATCGATTTAATAATATCCAGATACATCATTAAGTTATCAACTTTCACCGTTATTAATAGATAATACAACTAGATAATTTAGCTGATGATCCACGATTTAAAACAAATGATCTGAGAGTCAAGTATCGGAATGATCTAATAAACACTCTGAGTGAACGGTAAGAAGATAGACACAATCATGTCGTAATATGTGATAAGTAGAGGCTTAACATACTGATATTATTTTCTTAACCTCCCTGTATCACTTTTTAGATTTCAACAAGCAACAACAAGCAAATGGCTGGAGCGCTTAGAGAATTGTGGATTTCCCTATGGCCCAATTAATACAATAGGACAAGTCTTAAACGATCCACAAGTAGTACACAATGGTCTAATTCAGACTGTCGAAAATGCAAATTCCGATAAAGTTGATATTATCGGTAAGGCATCCTAATTAACTTTGTTAGTTATTAGAAATGATTGTAATCGATACATGGTTGAGGCAGATGCTATAGAGTAATCATACCGTACCAGTTTCTTTTGATGAAAAGGAGACATACAGCAGTAATTGCTATTAATACATAGGTATTTGATATTGTAAAGGTCCTGCAGTTACGTTTAGTGAAAGCCAAAATCGAATTCGATCTCCTCCGCCGCTATTAGGACAACATACAAGAGAAGTTTTGAAAGCAGAGCTAGGACTCGATAAAGACAACATAGACAGACTGCATAAAGAGAACATTATTTATTGTGCATAAGACCTTAATATTTACAGTATTCAATACTGTAGTAATATCAGTAAAGCTAGCTAGCTATGGGTGTAGACATTGCAGAATACGATATAACGTATTATTTTTTTTAAAATGGTATCCAATTTAGGCAAGACCCCGCAGCTCATAGTAGCTCTGTAATAAGGGAACCAGTATTAAACTAAGTGTGTACTACAATGTTGAACTTTTAAGCTGATAATAGCTAAAGCGATCAGATAAAAAATATGTGTATGAAAAATGTTCTATCCTCTCTTTATGAAACTATATTACTTAGTAAGGAATTATGTCACGTTAAAAAGAAGAATAAATTGATTAAAGGCAAATTTTAAAATTAATCAGTCGACCGTTTGATATAGTATCTACTGTACGTTAATGAATCAGGCTTTGAATTGATCTTATCATATTTGCCCGTTACTGCACAGTAAATCGCTAGTAACTAAACAGTAGTTCGAAAATTACTGTAATAATATTATACCGCACATTTGCATCATCAGGTTTTGAGAGTTGATATACTACAACAACCGATTAAGGACAATACCATGGATTTGGGTTGAACAAATTTGAATTTTTGCTGCATAAATATCGCTGAAAAAAGTATTTTTTGATTCACCATTGATTGCTTGATCGAGTCTCATCTAATTAAAATAGATTGACTTGCAAATGACACACCGAAAAGGATAAACTGTATTATCCGATAGTAATTCCTAAATAAAGTAAAAAGTATAAATATAGTCGTTTACAGTCACGTGAAGTATGTACTAGCGACAAATCGACTAGTTCTTCATAAAAGACAGGTTGCTACATCAACTAGACTGTATTCATTGTAGCAATTGCTATAGTATAACAAATCCTTTTGGTACACCGGGTATACAGGTTAAAAGGCATTTATTGCCAATTTATTTATTGAACCATTAGTAGACCAATGGTTAAGTGACCCAATAAACTGTTTCAGCGTCATTTTTGGTACGCAAATTGATCTTGAACGGTGTGTCAGTGACTACTAAACCCTGACTATACCCAAAATGATACTCAAACTTTCATCTTAGAAAAAATAGGTAGGGAGGGAGTTTGAGAGGGACTGGTGGATGAGTTTAGCCTCATTTTGGCTAGGAAATTTGACATCTACATTCTACAGTGCTGTAGTATTATTGTACTGCAGTAGTTGCTCTTCGACTTATGGTTGCCGTATTAATTTGAATAACATTGATGATTTAAAGTTACTGCTTCCAAGCAGAGATTAGTAATAGGCAATGGAATACAATATATTATTACTTAATTTAGAAAAAATGGGTCAATTCAGAATCGACTGCCTGCATACTAAAGTACTGCATCAAGAAGTGTTGAACACAATTTGTCGACGAAATGAGGCCAAATATCTGTCCGTCGAAAGGAGTGTCCAGCCTAGGTATTCTTCTAGTGGTCCATGACCGTGTGTTGCATACTAAAGAGTCTTTCTAAACTATCGGATTCTAGAGTGGGACTGGATTTTTTCGTATTTCCGAGTACAGTACTGCGCAGAACACTGCTGTAGTGTATATTAGTGAATTAAAATTATTATACTGATAATGCGATGGGATGGAGCGGGATGAGACAAAATTGATCAAATGTTGCAGACTTCTGCTGTACAGTATAAAATCGACATTTTCAAGTCTTCCTCAATGCATTACTATCGATATGTAAAATACATGTCGTGAGTTAAGGTATCAGATACACAACAGTATATAGACATTCTATGTTGGTGGATGACATCTCTTTTTACACAATTGTGCAAGATCAAGCCTGCTGGTAGCCAGTGGGACCATACTGCCAAACTTGTCTGCTGTACAGTGTACAGTGTACAGTAAAGACCCTTCTAGAGTACAATGTACTGTACCCGATCAGGCAATAGTGATCCAGTAGCGTACGACCGTACAGTACTTGAACCGAGTGCAGTACGTGTACACTAGCGGTCAACTGTCAACGGTCAGCAGACTACGTAGGTACGACTGTAAATTAGCGTGAATCTAGTAGTGGATGACACGCACGCACAGTCAGTCATTAGAGGTGAATTGCTGTTCCTGTGGAACATTGATCCCAGCACGACAAGAAAGCCACAGTGAAATTTTTCTCACCAGTTCGTCCATTGCCCTCTTCAATTTGGACAATTAGTTGAATGATTTTACAAGTTTGCACAAGGTGAAGAGGAAATTAAGCAATCAGATGGAGGATATTTTAGCGGATAGCGACGCTATGGTACATCGTAATCGACCTGGAACAAAATCGAAGGTAAGCGAGATATTTCAGTGTACTGTACTGGACTGGTTTTCCTTGTCAACATGATCCCCAAAGACGATGGGCTAGGAGCGAGGATATTTTACATACAAAGATGAAATTTGACTTTCAGTCTACAGTATTCACTTTTATACAACAACAGCTTAAAGATGGAGGTTTTCTGTCCTTTGTAATTTATTATCCATGTATTGCACCAGTGAAATGGATACTTTCTGATATGATAATAATTATTGAATTGAAGAAAAAGTTGGAGCTACGGTATACTGGACATTCTCCTACTTTCCACCTACTACAGTACGAGTATCATATTGTACCATTGGCATAGACTTGCTGGATCGACGCGCGTATATCATGTTATTTGGTAGAAGCAAACTTGAGTTGAGTTTACAATACTGTACAATTATTTCAACGCTTGTTGGATTGCATCAAGAATCAGCTTTTATGTCCAAGTTACATGCTATTTCTCCATACAACTGCTACATGGACTATCCCATGAAATAATTGATTGCTTGACAGGAAAATTACTCCTGACTTATATCGAACTGATAGTACTTTGCTTGCCTTTCAAATGCCATACAAGAGATCTCAGATCAAGTTGATCCGATATCTCATAGATAGTCTGCAAAAAAATTCATTCATTGTTTCGTTGTTTGTATGGAGAGATGATTAGGAATGATATGTAGCAAAAAGTCAAAAAACGCATCAACTCTTTCCTTATTTGTGCCGAGAGACGATTAGAAATGATACGTAGCAAAAAGTCAATTTACTTGATCATAGGAAGGTTGCAAGGCCTGTTATTTCCAATTGGTGAAACTGTACGTGATGTTTGATTTCATTGCCCCTATCTCTCGTCACTTTAGCTGTGCATTTAAAATTTTAACGCTAATGACAACGTCAGCGATTCATGTTGATACACTGTAGTTACTACAGTGTAGTATCGTCATCCCTCCAAGAAGATTCGTCAATGACAAAAGCAATTCGTTGAGGATACGTATACTGCCACAATCGCAAATAGCAATACGCCAGAGTCGTATTTTGTGATCATATTGATTTTGCACCATAGCTGAACGTAGGAATACAAACTTGACAGCTTTAATCGTGCCTGGAATTCATCTTGACTATACTCATTTTGATGACTGAGATAGATTATAATGTCAATACCTTAGAATACTTGTAATCTACAGTGCTAGTTTAATAAAGCGATGAAAGGATCCTCCCAACGCAATATTATTACATACTGGATTGACAAATATTTCCAATTGAAAATATTAGTACAGTACATGATCCTATTAACCACGCTACTGTTTTATGTATTATCGATACCAAAGCTGTTATTGTATATTTATTACTCTAGGCTATGAACCGGTGGCCTGATATCGAATTTGATGACATGGATTCTATACTTTGTGTACAACAGGTATTGACTGCCATATAGTACTTACTCGTACATGCTTATTACGTAGTTTTTAATATGGAATAGGTCATGGACTCTTGTCCATGCCTATCACTTGATGATACATAATACACAATTCGTATATTAAAATGAATTATTCCTCCATTATTTGACAATTACAACAAAACATATTTCGACGGTTCGTTCAACCACAATAATAACTTGATTACAATTTTAGAACGACTGTACTATATAAGCGATACGAGAAGACCTAATTTTGAAATATTTTAGCAGTTGACTTGTAGATGTAAAACCTTAACAGCATGTCAATAAAACAGTACTTCAATTATAGACTTTTAACTGAACAAACTTGTGAACTTATTAACGTAAATTTTTGTGCTACATGCCAGTGCTGTTCTAAATATCAACTTATCAGTATGGGGACAATTAATCTATTACAGCGATTTATTACTGCATTGAGTAGCTAATTTTAATGTTGAAAAATGTATACTTACTGTATACACTATTTGAAAAAGCTAAGTACAATCTCTATTTCATTGTTAGATAATTCAGCAACGAATTAAGGATGATGCGTCGAATATACAAGTAATAATTAATCCTCCTCCATCTCAAGACGAAGATGTTTGGAAATACGAACATATCAGGTAACCTTATATAACTGCTGTCAATGGCTAAATGAGATAGCATCTTGGTATTAGAAAAATAAAAACTTTATTATTCCTAGGCAATTTTGTCAAGAACTGAATGGATTAGCGGTCCTGTTACAGGTTATAATCTTCATGCTATTTATTTATGATATTATGATCTAAGTATCATTTTCTATGGACTGTTATTGCCAAACTAATGGACATTGGATGCAACGAATTTTTTTGGCAATATTATTTATTAAATCATTATATAACTAATATCAATGTTTTTTGGAAATTAGGCTGAATGCAACCCAACCAGTTGCCCGCAGATGATGGCAACAGAACAGTGGATTTACTTATGTGCTGCCCATAAAATACCAAAAGAGGTAAATGATGAACAATTTATGTAGAAAGTATCGATCCATTGGTGTAATCATTACGCTGGTGCAATGGATGATTAGCAATGTCTTTTTAAGACTTTCATCATTTTACTCTTACAGTGTCCAGCAATCGACTACACAAGACATACTTTAGATGGCGCTGCTGTATTATTAAATAGCAATAAATACTTCTCTAGTCGGTAAGGACTATGATTTGCGAATAAAAAAAAATGAATAGTAATCTAAGTGACCTAACATGTGAAATTCAAATTGTTACTATAGGGTGACAATAAAAGATACATCCGTAGCAAAGTTGGCTTCAGTGTGTCGTAGGCTATACAGAATCTTTTCTCATGCCTTTTATCATCATCGGGCTCAATTTGATATCTTCGAGGTTTGTTATAGCTTCAACTTAGATACGATTATGAAATATGCTTTATCTGTGTCATTACTGCATATCTTATCTTTCCTTCAGACTGAGACCTTTCTTTGTGAGCGGTTTACTGCTTTTGCAAAAAAGTACGAGCTAATGACCGGAGAAAGTTTAATTGTAACCCTAAATCATGATAGTAACGCAGATAGCGAAGGTATGGAATCATGACCATGATAAGAGAAGCATTGCATATATGCTTTTATTTGATTAGAAATGTTTTTAATAGCCGATTTTAGGGCAGATACATCAATTCTGTGAAAGATTAATGGAAGGCTACTTAAGACGAACAGAACATACGATTTTCTTGCATTTTAGTAATTAATAGCGATACTATAACTTCATTAATTCAACTAATTTTGTCTAATATGTTTATTTGAACTGACTTTATACTGTAAGTTATTTCGCTATATGTTAAATTTCAGTGAATGTTAATGTGCATATAAACGTTCATTTTATCTGTCTATGAATATAAATTTTTCGAAGGTATCGTGAATAACAGACAGCAATTTATAGGCATAATTATATTATGTAACTAGCCTGCAACTGACCAACAAATTATGATAATCACACAACTACCCTGTAAATATACCTTTTATCTTTAATAGCCTCATAACATTGCACAATATATTAACACTACTGCTTATAGCTTAGAGCGTGGTAGAGTTTTCATGTATATATATACCTATAGGATTCCATAGTATTTTGAATATATAATCATTCTTATATTGGAGATTCTAAATATTTTAATTCTATCATTGCACTGCAATAGCAATAATCGCTTGAAGGTTGATATTAGGATTATGTAACGGACAGTTTGTCAAATCTTCTCGAATATTGCAATCATTTTTGCTTATAACAAAACATAAGTGGCATTAATTACTTTTTCGTTTTTTACATGCCTAAATTAGCACCTACCTCTATAATAAATTATAATTGTGAAATTTATGATTGTAACGTTGTTATAAGAGTAGAATTCTTATAAAAAAAACTGAAGTTTAAAAATTATCGATTCTACTATTAATACTGCCCGATATCCTACAAATTCTTTAGGTGTAAATTATTACTCAAGGGACAGATGTTATGGACCGCGCGAAGTCAATCAATATCTACCGTTACCACCATACTCGTTTCATTGCAAACCATTATAACGTGTACAGTACCGTTGTTTGATCATTGTAGATTCGTTAAAGTTCGAAAAATGATCTGGTCTGTCGTACGGTTGTAAAGTACAGTAGCCGAGGAATTTGTTATGATAAGATATAAAAGTATGCACAGGGCGAAGGTCAATCTACGTTACTGTAGCGGACGATAATTTTCTTCGTAATGAATGAGTGCTATGGAAATATACTGGCAAGAGGATTATAAGCTTGGTTTAAATATTTACTGACATCATGATCTATCATAAAATTTATAGATATTGATATTTTAATCGTATAGGATGCCAACGAGGGAGTACTCAGGAAGCAACATTTAAGTTATCTTTTGTTGTTAGCGCAGAAGCATTTTCTAAAGATATATTGCAATAGGTATTTGGCGACTCTTGTACAGAGAATAGGAATGTTAGTCAATTTACAAAAGGTTTAAAATGGCTTAGTTCTTAAAGTAGGGAACGTCCGATAGCAGCTATAGCACTTGCAATACTATACGATTGTGCATGTCTGAATGATTGTTAGAAAGAATAAATAATTTCATTTGCCAAAGCTAATTACAAATATTATAGTATTTAATGATTGCACACTGATCATCACTGTACAAAGGATTTTTCGTTGTATAAACTAATCTCGCGAGAATCTTACTGCCATTAGATCGATCTTGTATGATATTCTAGGATAGTCTTCATGTACAGTAGACAAGAGCCTCACTGAATGTTATGTTCTTATTAATCAGTAAGAATATTTACAATAATTCTATGTTATAATTAGTTTCTACCACGTTTACAGAATTATGAAGAGTACTTGCGTGATAAGGTATGGATACTTTTCCATATTCGTAATTGAGCATAAAAACTGAGTTTACCACAAGGATAGTTTCCATAGACGAGCATGAAAATCATACGTACACTTCACAATAGCATAGACAAACCTAGTTACCGTATCAAATATGTGAAACTTATTGGATCGAACTAGACTAAACTTTCACATAACTTGCATCATATGTAGTAGGATAGCACGTAAAATGTTCATGCAAAAATATCATACTGATATATTGTACGACTATATATACTAATCCTACATTAGGTAGAATAATGTACCTGTAAATGAAATAGGCTATATCCGATTTATGCTTATAAAAGTAGCGTAATCACCTCGATAAGCACATCTAACCGTAATCCTGAAAATACAAACTATCGTTACTAAATATAAAATTTTGTACCCATATTTATTAAAATATCATATTTTCTTCAGAGACTATAGGAATATATCTTATCCTATCTTAAAATAGAAATAAATTGCGAGACAACAAATGAATTATTTCCTCTCGCTTAGTAAACGAGAACCATCTATAGATATCATACTATAAATTAAGTATATTTTTCGAAGTATTTCTACTGTAGGTAGAGAGAAAGCTGAAATTCAAAACAAGAAATCGGTTTGAAATTTTAAAGCACTAATAAGTATAATTAGTGTACTAATAGCGTAACTAGATTATCAAGTTGACCAAGGTATAACGAATTGCTCATACATTGACATAATCTGTTAATATCAAAGAAAGGAAAATTATGACTCGTTATAAATATGGAGCGATATAACATTGCACCGCTACTATACTGTTAGAAATATTTACACATACAGAACGAAGACGTAAAATTTAGCGGAAATAGTCTAAGTCTGTAACTATACTACTAAATAATATGCAGAATTAATATAACTACGTTATGGAATTAATATGATAAATTATTGCCGGATAACAAGAAAACAAGATTAATTGAATTATTACGTCATAGATGTCACTTCTATATTACAAGTATTTATTTACATTATAAAATTGATAATAAAGATGAAGGAAGGTATTAAAGAAAGCAATTTGAGATCATTAAAGCAAACAGCAGATCAGAAGCAGTGCAACTAAGTGATAGTACTAACATAATCTAATCTCGTAAAAGAATATGACGATTTATTGAATACGTCTTTTATGCCGCATGGACCGTCGTTATCTGCCGGTTTATTTACATGATATAACTGATAATAAGGGGATACATATAGGAAAGATAGGAAAATTTACGAAAATATTTTAGACTAAAGCATACCAGTAGAACTTCTCCGAAACTATGCAACTCAATTATAATAATATTGACCCGATCCAATCTTGTCTTTGACAAAGAAAACCGCGATTGATTGAATACTATGTTATACACACCGGTATTTATGTAACTAGTCCTATTCTGATATAATGTATACCAGCTCAATAAATATAGTTGAATATATCCAATATTGAACGAATTCATTATACATACACTTAAAAAGATATAATAATAGCATATCTATGGTTTACAATACTATTTGAAAGGATGTGATCTTGTCGAAGTAATCCATATACAGTAAAGGGAAGATAGTGAGGCCAAGAAAAGTGGTTTTAGATGTAATTATATAACTCGCCAGAAATTACATAACTAGATTATTGGTATTGACATGATCTAAGCTTGTTCCATACCAGAAAGACACGATAATTGAATACTATAACACTTAACTTGATTAAAAAGTCTGTTGATTTTAATTGAGCTAAAATTTATCTCATTAACGGATAATTATAAACTAAAAAATTTAGTAAATTATTCCCGATAATTATTAATTAGGCAATCATTTGAATTTCCCTTTTATCTGCGTTTTAATAAAAAACACAAAATTTCCAAGTATAATATCATGACAGTATGAGATACGATAATTGTTTATTAACAGTAATTAACCCTTGGTAGATATTGCAATCTATTCGTTTATTCTATTTTCTTATTTATAATATACGAGATCAAGAGGAAAATTATAAAATTGAAAATTTATTATTGTGTCTGTTCATTGTCCATTAGTAAATAATACCAATTTTGAATAACAATAACTATATTATCGGTAATATATTACAACTGCCAAGGATAAAACGTGACGATCATTTAAATAGAAATTATTAACTAGCTTAGAGTCCGAGGAGGAAGAAGTAAGGAAATTATGAAATAGACAAGAGCTTCATGTCTATATCGATCCAATAGAAGTAGCAGCAATATAAGGTTAGAGTGGATACGCTTAGAAAACGGAAGATTTCTAGAATTTTTAGTAGAATGGGAATTTTTTATTTTTAATCTATTTTCTTTATGATCTGTACAATTTATTGATAATGAATTAAACTCTACATTAACCTTTAACAAATTTAGTACTTATTACTAGCTATATTAACCGCCGTAGCGCTAGTATCTTATCCTTGTTTTTACATAGCGGTATGAAACTTAAACATATTACCATGACAGATTAGGTTAAAACAAGAAAATAAAGTAGATTAATTGACATTTTAATAAATTCATCATTAACTTAAATCTCTATCTCAACACGTATCTCAATTTGGGTTCATGATGTACGGTACAATAGTTAAACGAGACTGTTTGCTTGAATAATTTACATTTGAATAAAACTGCCGTTGAAATGGGTATCTTAGTTTGTGGTAGGAATTGTAATGGAAATATTAAATGAGGAAATGGACCTGATTATTCAACCAGCGCGATTTGATCGATCTTTAACAGTTTATCAAATTGGCGTTGGATTTGACAGTCTATCACGAACTAAAATTCACTAAGTCGAATTGAAACAACAAGCAAGTTGAGTTGATGAATTTAGATTAAAAAAACAGGAGATTCCTAGTTGAAAGATAGAGCTGCCTTTATTTTGATAATAAGTAACAGAGATATTTAGTTAGGAAATTTGCTAGATTAACTTCTAATGGGATCATTTCCTTTTGAATAGCTATCTTGGCGTTTCATAATAGTATGTTAGAGGCAAAATAGGAAATGTGCTTGAATACTTTACAGTTGAATACATCTCAATTTCTATAGAAACAAGAATTTCAAATTTCTGTCTGTTGTGTACGTTATAGAGTTATTGAGTAAGGAAGCTTTACCTGATTAATTGAACGTTGAATATTTGCTTTTAAAATTCATATCACGATTGATTTGACGATCGTAGTCTATC